TATATAAATATATATATAACTATTCTTATTCTTCTTATGGAGTCTTATGGAAAAATAATCCTACTTCTCACTCGATTTCTAACCTCATTAAACTGTTTTCTAATGGGTTTATAGTATCAATAGCTAGTGTCAAGTCTTCATTCATGTTCATTTAGTAAATTATGGTCCCATTTAGAGTAAAATAGATGATAAAGTAGGGTACACTTTAGGGTGTGGCTACCAAGTGATACCATGTGAGTCCATAAAGCACACGAAACTGAGATCAAACAGTCAAACTAGGCAGTGCTGATCAAATATAATAGAGCCGGTAATTATGTTTCCATTTAAATTGTATAATTGTACGTGAAATTCTGAAACTTTTGCAAAGTTACGTTTTTTTTTTCTCTTAACTACCTTTAAAGAAACTCAGACTCAGACTCAAACTAAAGCAGAAACAGGCCCCACGATGTCATGGTGTATTCAAAAAACTCTATCCTCTCTTTTTTGATATGCCAGCCTTTCTGCCTCAACAAAAGTGCAGTCCTTTTTGCAATATTTTTTTCTGGCATTTCAATTCAGGTTTTTTTCGTGCACAAGTGGATAGTAACACCTAATGTACACTTGGATATTTGTCTATTTCAACACTAATTTCTTATCTGTCTTATCTCTAGGTACGGAGACATGGTGCCAAAGACGATTGCCGGTAAGATCTTCGGCTCCATCTGCTCCCTAAGCGGTGTGCTGGTGATCGCCCTGCCTGTCCCCGTTATCGTCTCCAACTTCAGTCGCATCTACCACCAGAACCAGAGAGCAGACAAACGCCGCGCTCAGAAGGTAAAATTCAGTGTCTTTAGCTTTTCCATCTGCTCCAACAGGGAGAGTCGAGGGTTAGGTGTGATTCAAACGAGTGTTTGTGCTGGAGCGTGTGCACATACATATTACCTGACCATTAGGAGTGCACACTCTTGATTTTCAAAAGGCCAAAGTACCACAGGATTATTAGATATTAAGTTAGTTAGAGTGAATAGGAGGTTCAAGTGTAGAGTAAAAACACTGGGTGGGTGGATACTAAAGGTTATTCCTGAAAAACCTTTTGAAGGTCTTTCTTTTTTTATATGCAGATGATTAAAATAATGATGCAGGGTTAAAAGATCCCGATGACAGATTAGTGTTTTTATAAAAAGAACAGAGGACACATTTTACAAACTTAAAAAAAAGGGTGATGGTAAAAAGGATTGACCCCAATCAAGAATTCGGTGTCTGCATTGCAAATCACTCTCCTTCAACCTACATCATCCCTCATTTTTCAACACCATCTCACACTCACCCAGGAAATTTGTCGCCCTTCAGACCCACATTATTCAATGTCTTTCCACATATGCGCACACACTCCCTATCTCCCTCTTTCTCACACACACACTTAAAATCCAACTACCAAATGTTAGCTATCCACTCACTATGCTCACCCAGTGGGCTCGACCTTTCTACAGATTTAGATAAGTGCTATTAAGTTTGAGAGCAGCTGCTGATAGCTAATTGAGGAGGGACAACTAAAATTAAATTTTGGGCAGTAAGCAATGAAAAAAGGGTGGATTAATGAATGAATGATTTTGCAAAGTAGTGAACCCTGACTTATTCTGCTGGTTTGGGCATCAAACATGTCACACATGTCCAGTGTCTTTAACACTTTATGGAACTGCTGCAGTCTTTCAGAGGAAATAAAATAAATCAAAGTAAGTTTGGATATCATCAAGAAAAAGCACATCATTGATAGTAGTTTTTACAAATGGTTTGACAATATACAATATACTATTACTACAGCTACATGTGATGGATGGAAACTGATGCACTAAAACTATTTTACTAAACTATTACTGCAATCAAAATACGTTTCCCAGTATTGCAGTATTGTAATTTTAATCACACCACTGGTGCTGTGTGACATTGACATAAATCATATTGCAAATAAGACATGAATTGTTCCATGGCGCTTTTTCCATGGCCACTCCCAGCAGGAGAGAGTGAAACTGTTTATATATTATATAAGAATTTAGTTTAAGAACGGCAATGCAGACTAAGTGCTTTTTAAAGGGCATTTTTATATTTTATGTTTTATTTTGTATGTATTGATTGTAATTGTAAGCTTACTTTAGAGAAAAATAATGTTGCTGTTCTATCCAACACAACAGTCAATCTACATAGTTAATTGGCAAATTAATGTAATGTTGTGTAAAAAAACTAAATTAAAATCCTCTACAAAACATTACAATACGCCAAGGACATATTTAGCTGCTGATTGACTGCAGGAGTGACACAGATGTTCTAACACTTAAATATAGAAACAACTAATCACAAAACACAGTAACAACCTCATCCAAGACTGTTGCATCTTCACTTTAGCAGCAGTTTTAGATTCAACAACATACATTTTTTTTGTATGGATTCTAAGGTTTTCCCCTGAGGGAAATTTTTAATGGGCCTCATTCTTTGCAGTAATTGTAAAACATGTTTTAAGATCACGATGGGACAGTAAAACTCTAATGTAAAACTCATACTAATGAAGTTCTTTTAGAGTAAGTGGCTTCTCTAGCTTATCCAACCCATTAAATTAGTGAGAGGAGAATCTCTGGGACACAGCACCCATTTTAAATGGAGGTATTAATTTATAAAATCATTATTGACCTATTAAATTAAAATTAAAAAGAAATTACATTTTATTACAGTTTTTTTCTGCAGTCATGGAGGGACTCTCCACCAGACCAACACTGGGCTGATATGTTTGATAAATTAAACTAACTGTGTTGCTCCCTTGTGTTGTTCTTTGAATCAGTCAAGTAAATAGTGCAGCAGTAAGAGTGGCAAACCGAACTAGTAATATTAGACTAAAGGTGCATTAAGTATCTGCACTGGAGCTTATTGGATGATTTTTACCAGCCGATAGTTTGCCCCATTGTCATGTCAGTTTAGATATTAAAATCTTTTCTAAACACCTAAACTTAAATGACTTCTCATTCATGTTAGCTTGAACCTGCTTTAACTGATCTTTTGCCAACCTGCTGTAAACACAACATTTGCAAATGGTTGCTTTTTACACATTCAGCACATTGTCGAGTTGTGTTTCTGGCCACCTTTCAAATTTCAAGTCCACTTCTCTTTTAGGGTTTGTTTTTGGTCTTCACCAACTCCTGAGGGAAATGTCTGGTTCTTTAGCTGCTAAATGCTCCGCTATGTTTACCAGTTAGTCGCTAACTTTGTCAGTCTGCAGTTTGGTGCCGGGCAGGCAGTGTACCATGGGTTTAAGGAGCGTTTTTGACTGAAAACAGATCAAACAACACACTGAAGCTCAGACGAACTGCAGTCTGTTGACAATTCTCTGTGGGTTTGTAACAAGCAGAAACCTCTGTGACTGTAAAGTTAACACTGAAGTGAGTCAGTCTCCAAAAAGCCCTATATTAAAATGTCCCAACTTTACAGCAGAAATAAATATGTTTACAGCCTGGTACAAATAGCGCTTTTGGTCTCTATACCTAATTTTCCTGTTCATGACATTTGTATGGATTATTTACATAACCCACCCATTTAAATTATATTAATTATTATAAAGTTATGCATAGTTAAGGACATGGCTGCTTTGAGCGGCAGATGGATGCCGTCACAGGCGTCTTTTTTTAGTGGTTTGTTACTATGAATGACCCTGTTCGAGTTCTATTGTTGACATAAAACCATCTATTTTAACTGCTTTAAAGCAGTGTAAACTTTAAAGCCTGTTATTCAACACAGGATGTAGAGCAGCAGCTTTTAAACCAACATGGTCGAGAAGTTGAATTAAAATCAATAACAGAAAGCCACAGAACAGTTACTGAATGGACCTTGTTGTGAGAATTAACTTTAGAATTAAACCCAATGCTAGATTTTGAGGTCAAGTCAACTTTATTGTCAAGTCACGTATGCTTATACATGCAGACATAACAGCATAGATGCAAAGTTTCAGTCCTCATCGGACCCACGGTGCAAAACAGGCATAAGAAAAAATAAATTTTCCTATATACATAGGAAAGAGCATAAAATAAACAATCAACAAGAATAAGTAAACAATAAACAATTAGCAGACAAGAAGCAACATCAGACAATCAAGAATGTAAGGCCACTTGTAAGATAACATGGATGAAAGTAAAACATAGGATAAAATAAATAAGTTATTTCAACAGGTGCGAGGTAGTGGCGGTGTACTGCAAGATAAACAGGGGAAAGTGAATGTGCAGTCCCATTAGAGTTCAGAGTGTGTTGAGCTGGCAGGGGGCGCAGGATCATCTGAGCTCTGCCTGGTTTTGGCCTGAAGACCTCGCCGCATTTCTCCTCCCTCACGGCCCAGCACTCGCATAGTTCAACGATCAACTGAAAATAGAACTTGCTTTAAAACTTCCTCATCCCAAAAGCGAATCTTTTCTTACTGTAGACTTTTTTTACAGAAGAATTTACAGCTCTGAAACTTTTGTAATATTCCATTCTTACACAGTAAGAATTGCTTTGCCAGCCCAGGAAAGTACAGTGCGCCACTTTTGGTAGGTGTTTGATGGACTTAGGTGCGTGTCAATTTTTCTGGTCCTTCACCTATGTGGCTTATTTATCTAGTACATGCCCACAACATAAAATGTTTACAATGACATTTACTTGTGCACGTGTCAGTATTTTCACCAATGCCACACAAATAGCCCATATTGTGTGTGAGTTAGAACAGACCAATATACAGAAAAAAAGTAAAAAAACGGAAACAA